CTGAAGGGACAGAACAGCATCCACTGCCAGTTGGTGAAAAGATGTAGAGCTGAGTGTCATCAGTGTACTGATGCCACTATGCCCCACACCCCCTGATGACCCCACCCAGCATCCTCATGTAGATATTAAACAGCATTGGGGAGATGATCGAACCTTGCAGAACCCCACAATTGAGACTCCACGATACCCTCTCCCCAAGCTGTACTCTCTGAGGACAGTCCCCGAGGAAGGTTCAGAGCCAGGCAAATGCCAGGCAACCAGTTCCTAACTCGGAGAGCCTCCTCAGGAGGATATCGTGGTCGATGGTATCACAGGCTGTCGAGATACCGAGGAGGATCAACATATATGTTTTACCCGTCAGCCTCCCTCAGTAGGTCATCATACAGGGCGACCAATGCCGTTTCTGTACCATGATGCGGCCTGAAACCTGACTGGAACGGAACAGGTCCAGGGCATTTGTTTCATCCAAATGAGCCTGAAGCTTCTCGGCCACCACCCTCTCCACCACTTTGCTGATGAAAGAAACATTGGCGACGGGCCTATAATTGCCAATTTTGTCCGCCGCCAAACTAGGTTTCTTCCTTATGGGACTAATGAGTGTCTCCTTGAGGACAGGAGGTATCCTGCCCTCAAGGAAAGATCCATTAATTATTGCTGTGGCCCATTCTGTTGTTATAGGCCTGGCTGCTTTAATTAGCCAGGCCGGGCAAGGGTCAAGGGAGGAGGTGGTGGCCCGACAGCGATCAAGCGCTTTGTCCACAATATCTGGCGTCACAGGCTGAAAGAAATCAAAAGATATCATTTTCCCCTCTAGTTTTTTCAGCTTAACAATGTGAACAAACATCATCATGAATAAAAATCATAGTCATCAAATTATTTTTTGAGAAATATTCACATCAAAGGAACTTATCACAAAAAAAGAAGCAGATGTGACTTACCAGTTCAAATTGCCCTAAATTCTGAAGCTCTTGTATGAAACCAATCATAGGATTTAGTTGTTCTAAACTTAGACAGTAGTCTGTTTCTTTCGGGTGAGGCTCATCCTATGAAAGGATAGCAGAAAGTTGTAAGACAGTAGGAGATACATGGGGGTATTTTGTGAAAAAGAAATGATTGGGGAGGAATGCAGAGACTTCTTTGGACTATAGCTTCCAGAATTCTCAATCAACACAGCTAGTGACTATGTGGCTGGATGAGTGTTGTAGTAAAACAAAAAGTAGTGTTATGAAGTTCTGGGAGAATATTCATGAAGTAATGGGTCATTCCAATGATGTAGTCATTTGGAGCCTTAGGTCTCCAGTAGACCTGGGGTTGACTCAAAAATTAACTTGATGAGATATTATTTTTACTTGAAAATAGGTAAAATAAGAGAACCTTTCTGATGCTTTCTCCAACAAACCTGTTAAAATATTTGATGCCATTTTTTCCAGCATGTGAAACATTATAATTAAAGGTATGAAATTTCAAAATTAGTGTTCTAGCATAACACAGCTATGGGCTTGCTGTGGTTATTTTGAAGTTACTGTACTGTTTTAACAGCATGGCTGGTATATTAATATTATTAAAGTAATAAAATTCATATAGAAATAATTACACTGTGAATTGCAAAATATAATCATAATATAGCTGCCATAATCCTGTTGGTGTTCCTGTAAACTCTACAGCTCTCAACTTGCTGTGGTTAACCGCAATGAATTGATGAGGTAAGCTACGTAGAACACCAAAAGAAAAAGACGCTTTGGTTTTAAGTAAAAAAAGTTAAGACTGAAGTGGTGCCCCCAAAGATAAGAAAATTTACTTACTTATTTACTTATTTATAATATTTCTATCCTTAATTTCTCTGAAGGTGATTATGGTCATGGATGAAGCTGTACCTGAAAAGTTAAGGAAACTGAGACCACATATACACTCCCCTCCCCAAAAAACCACAGGGGCATACTGAGGCACCCTTCTAGTACTCTTAACTCCTCTGGGCCAGTCCTTGATTCCCTAAAAAGAAAAAAAAACTGCAAACCTGGGACTAGGCCCAAGCCTTTCTGTCCCCCAATACAGATTGAATGGACTGGATTAGTGAATACAGGACTGGTTCATCTCTTATGTTTACTTGAAGTGGAAATTAAGATACAAGGAGGGTGCATCGGTGTGTCCATGTTTCGAGTAATGAAGGGTTAAAACTGTGATCTGAATTTCCTTGTTTTGGGGGGCACAGCTTCAACCATACTTGTTTGCTTCAAAATGAAGGGTCTCAGCCCCAGCCCCACCCTTTTGGGAGTTACCCTGTTTCTTAAAATGAAACTCATAAATATTAACGTTAGGAAAGGAAGTCTGTCTTTATTGAACATCTCAAAATAAGAGAATGGCTGAAATCGTGTTCTGTAAATTACATAATCTGCTGTAAATAATTCCAGAAGGACAACTCAGCAGAACCCCAGAGTTACCAGAGGCAACACCACAGTGTGGATAAGCCTTGTATGGTGGCCATAGTAATAATCTCTCATTGATACAAATGAGATTTCATCCCTCTGCATTGAAGAGGTGAGGTTGAGAGCAGCAAGATCGGCTTTGATCATAATGCAGACATACACATACAGTGGTGGATCAACTTACAAACTTAATCTGTTCCAAAAGAACAGTCGTAACTCGAAATGGTCATACGTCAAAGCACCATTTCCCATTGAAATGCACTGAAACCCCATTAATCTGTTCTGGGAGAAAAAATTAAAAAACACACAAAAAACGAAACCCAAACAAACAAAAAACCCCACCACACAGCCTGCCCGATGGGAACGTGATGGGGCTGAAAAATAATAATAATAAAAACAGCCATACCCACATACCCAGCCCCATCGGAAAGCGATGGTGCTGGGGGGAAAAATCAGAAAACACCCACTCACCCACAGCCAGTCCCATCAGAATGCGATGGGGCTGAAAAAAATCAACCCCCACACCAAGCATTTATTTTTGGGGGGGGGAATAAAAAAACACCCCACAACCCCCCACACACAGCCAGTCCCATTGGAATGTGATAGGGCTGAAAAAAAACCACACCAAACAAACAAAAAAAATCACAGCACAGAAACATAACCCCCCCCAAAACCTACCCTGCAAAACAAACTGAATGTACTTACTATTGAGCAGAAAGCAGCACCAGACAATCTGAAGCCTCCTCCGACGCACACACTCTAACCGTTGGGGCAAAAGAGCTACAAAGAAGCTCTTTGCCGACCAACAGCTAGTCCTGCAATTTGAATTCCCCGCCTTTTTTCCCTGCCTCTTTTGTTTGCAACTCGAAGCTCCAGCCACAAGTCAAAGCAAAATTTTGAAGCCAGAGCTGGTCGTAATTCGAAATGGTCGTATGTCCAGACGGTCGTAAGTCGAGGCACCACTGTATTAACTCCGCATGCAGCATTTCTGAGAAGGACCCCTCCCTTTCTCTTTATGCTCATACTTAACTAAAACACTCTGCGACCAGAGTAGACCTTTGGTCTAGATGGCAAGGTAGAAGTCCAATAAAATAAAATAAAGAAAACAAAACATTAATGTGCCATTGTAAGTTACTTAACGTAGATTTACATGGTCTTGCTTTGGGTTCCCTTATAAAATTGTAATACACATAGAAAGCATCAATGCTATGACAATATTGCCAAGCAGCAGCCCTAGCAAAATAAATGGCATTCGGGGCTGTTATGAAACAATGATTGTTGCATAATAAACACATACCTTTATCCTTGCTGATTGATATACATTCTGGAAAGCCTCAAAGAAAGTAGAGGAGGAAGTTTGATTTGATAAGACAATTCTGAAAGTATCTTTAAGGAGGGATTCTTTAAGCGTTTGGTCCTGAAGAGTTGAGCCTTCAGCAGCTTGAAAGTCAAAGTGCTCATGTACCTAGGGAATTTATGAACTTCTTAAAACATTTTTTAAATCCACTGTTCATCTCATTTCTCAATGGTTTGTAAGTATAGCATGTGGAACTGTTTATCAAGACAGGGTACTGAACATGGAAGTGGATAGGCAGACTGGGATGCAAACAGCCCCATTTGGGAGCAGAAAACAAATCCCCTCCTATGACGTATCATAACACCAAGGCAGTGCATTATCATATGCACTGTTTGGTTATCTTTTTCCAGGATTTTAGACAAGACTCGTTCCCAAGTTTGCCATGAGAATCCAAGGATCTGAATAAACGTCTCAAACTAACACATTCAGAAGCTTCTGTGGAAGACTCCCACACATCATTTGCTCTGCTTTTAACCATGGCATTGCCCTGATTCTTAGCACGTACATGGCAGGAAGAAATTAAGTAGACAGAGGTACACCTAGCATATAAGGATGAAGGCAACACTTGACAGTATTCTGTCTCTGTTTGGCTGCTGGACTGTCAAAACTCCAGTAAGTGTAAAATGTACAATGGCTGAAATCCTGTTGTGCAGTTACACAAATGGTGTAATTTGTGGGAGCAAGTTATTGTAAGTTAACAAATCTCCATAGACATCTGTTACATATAGAGTCATGCAACTCTATGTGCAACAAATAATATCTATAGGGATTTCTTAACTTGTAGCAGTTTCTATAGAAAAGCTACACTGTTTACATAACTGTGCAGTAGAATTTCAGCCAATTATTCTGTGTCACTTCCTCCAACATCTGGCAGTGGGAATTGCACTTATGGCTTTCTGCGTGCTTAAGTTCTCTCCATGATTTACAAGCTATATGGTAAACATATTGCACTTGTTAATTCCCTGGATCCTTCCTTGATTCCAGAGAGGCATCTTTGATATGAGGCAACTGTCTCTCCCTCTCTGGAAATTAAACAAAGGAATCTCATCTAACTACACAGGCGGTACCTTCTATTAGCCGTTCAGGTGAAAAATGCTGTCAATGCATTCTTACCTCAAGAACAACTGGATACATGGAGTGGCTGAGCCCAATGTCAAAGGTTAGCATCTGAAAGCATGAACTGCATCTAAAAAAAGAATGACAGATTAAAATAATTTATTGCATATTGAAAAGAGCAGTGACCTAATGCGCAGAGTTGTAAGTGCTCGTGACTTTGTCAGAAAGTTCTGTTTCCTCTGTACTGATCAGAGTTCGGAAATAATGCATACATTTCAGCATGTTAAGGTTAAACTAGTTTTTATTTTTACCAAAAGGGGGGGGGGAGATGACACCAATTAATCTTGTGTCTTCTAAGAATAATTTCAAAAGTAATGTTAATAAGGGTTTTTAGTTGTTAATCACGGCTGAGTCTTTTGCAAGTCACTTTTTGAGTTATGTTAGTCTTTTGGCAGCAGAACAGAGTTGTTGCTGTTGTTGTTGTTTTAGAGTGCTTACTTAAACAAAGATATTAAATGAAAACTTGAAGTTAGTTCTGTCCTTATCTTCCTTGGAAACGTCTTCAGATATAGCTATGCTTAGGGGAGGTACCATGCAAACCACTCTAATTTAATCCTCCACTTGAGGTCAGAGGCTGTTTTTTGCTCCACATGCACAGTGTAAAACTGTTAATCAAACTAAATTAGACACAGGGAGCCAATAGCTTTTAGATGTCCCATGGAGATAGGAGTAAGAAATTAGTTGCTGTAGCAGGAAAGTAAGGCTGAGGGACTAAGGAATGTTTATGACAGACAACCACTTTCCATCTTAACAATTTTTAGATAAGTTGTACCTCACCATCCTCAGTCAACAATTGTAGTACATGGGGGGAGGGGGAGAAGCTGAGGAAGGCAATTTGAAAGGAACACACACACATGGACACAGGCCTGCACAGGCATCAGCAATTCTGAAACAGACAATGGTGTCAGTGATGAAAATCCTAACCCTATTTTTTTCCCTTTTTGATGTTGAAGATCAATGAATTAATTTTCAAACCCAACTTCCAAACGCTGGGAATTATTGGCCTGTGAGTGATTTATGGTACAAGGACACTGTGGGACTAGATAGGCTACAAGCACTGGCAGGTTGAGGGTGGCTCACAATCCCGAAATACCATGGCCAGCCCCCATGCTTGCATATTTAATCAGAGGTTGGGGGGATTTTTTAAAAAAAATACGGTATACAGAACACAAATAGATTTTTTTAAACTGAAGAAGTCCCCTCCTCCCCTTTTATGGGGATTTTTTTAATTGGTAGCATGCAGAGGCAAGGAGGGCTAAGACCTTACAAAACAGCAGAATTTCTCTCTATGCCCCCGAGAAAGCACAAGGGGGCTTTCTTGTTTTAAAAAATAAAACAAAACTGGGGGCATGAGGACACTGGAGGCTCCCAAAGGTCATGTATGACTCTTGTCATCTTACACCAGTGGTTCTTAACTTGGGCGATATCGCTCCCCAGGGGGCAATTTCATTTTTCAGGGGGGTGATGGAACGAAAAGGGGCGACACGGGGCGAAGGAACAGAAAGGGATGATAGGGGGTGATGAAGCCGCCACTGCCATTGAGGAAGTTATCATTGCCCCTCTCCCTGTGGCGCCACCGTGCCACCGGATCCAGAGCAGCAGCTGCTAGCAACAGATGTGGTGCCACTGCTGCCTTTGAGGAAGTTATCATTGCCCCCCTCCCCACGCTGCCGCCGTTGCCATGGGGGACAATGATAACTTCTTCAATGGCTCAAGGAGGCGTTTCTTTCAAAAAGGTTAAGAACCACTGCCTTATACAACTGTGTAGCAGAACAAGCAGTGGTAGGTGTTTCACGCATCCAGTCTTCCCTCAATTGTCCAAGCAATTCTGCAAGTGGTTGTGCACCTAAGCATGCTGCAGGGGACCTAGAACTTGTAAAAAAACAAACAAGCACACTTCTGTGAATATCCTTACATTTGTGGAAAATATTAATAGAACGTTGGCCTTTGTCTTTAAGGGTATGCTCAACATTGGGCAGAAAGTAATGCAGCTTGAGAGAGAGCCCTGGTTCTGAGTACAGTCGTGCCCCGCTTAACGATTGCCCCACATTACGACGAATCCGCTTTATGACTATGTTTTGGCGATCACAAAATGATGGTCTCAGTGGGGGAATTTTGCTTAGTGATGATTGGTTCCCTGCTTCGGGAACCGATTTTCGCTTTACGATGATCAAAAACAGCTGATCGTCAGGTTTTCAAAATGGCCACCGGGTGCTTAAAATGGCTCCCCGCTGTGCTTAGGGACGGATTCCTCGCTATACAGGCACCGAAAATGGTGAGTTTTTAGCCCATTGGAACACATTGAACAGTTTTCAATGCGTTTCAATGGGCTTTTTAATTTCGCTTTACGATGTTTTTGCTTAACAGCGATTTTCCTGGAATGGATTATCGTTGTTAAGCGAGGCACCCCTGTATTATGTGTCCTTCTCTCTTTGTGTACCTTATATTTCAATAAAGACTTTTGAATTTAGACCAGGAGGGCTTTTTCAGTAGAGCTATATGTGTATGTAAACCTCTGTTTCAGCATGAAATAAAACGGCTCCTTCCCAACAAGGGAAATAACCCTTCAAAGAGCACGATTTACATGAAAAAGGTTGTGCTGTATCCTTAAAATCCTAAGAAAATGGCATATTCTATGAACAATTCTAAACTGAGAACCCATCCATTAAGAATATTAATTTATTGTTTTCTTTTTTCAAAAAAAAATCAAAACATCCTTCTGACTAGGAGCCTGAATAAATAGATGCACTCAATAAATGGGTTAGAAATGAATTGTAGGTTAAAAGCTAAGGAAGTGCCTGTCATCTTCAACAACTCATAATTCAATAGTACTTTGCTGAGCATATGATTGTTAGAAGGTATAGGACAGTAATACACATGATTTATTTGGCATTATGCTTGTTTAATTTAAATCCACGTTTTTGCAATGGTGGTGAGCACCGGTAAGTATAAACCTCTGTATTAAGTAAAGTACCACGTATGGCCTCTTTAGGAATTACTGCTAGACCTACATTTTCAAGCATCCAAACGAGCTCATAAAGGCTTGAACTACAGGGCTCGATTATGCCCTAGCCCTTGGAGTTCTTATAGTCCTATCTCTCCCTATCGCTCTTAAGAAAATCTAGCATTTCTGCATTTGCTTCCACTTACTGGCCAGGGCCATTTGGTCCAGATGAAGGTGCTTCACTGAAAACCTCGGTTATCAATAAGAGTTTGCTTATTGCCTCTTTCATGTCATCCAAAGCCTGCTGAGGGGAGCTTGCTCCTAAGAAGGTCTCGAAAAATGTTTGCAACTGCAAAAGGAAGGAAAAAGAAAAGTAAAACCGGGGCCAGGGCCAGCCCTACCATTAGACAGAGGGAGAGAGGCACCTCTGGCAGCACATTAAGTGTCCTAAAAGATCAAAAACATTGCTATGTCATTAGCCATAATAATTACATTGTTACATAATTATTGCTCCATTTTTGCTGCTTGGGCTAGACACTCCTGTCCCATGTGCCAAAATTACAGTATTTGCCCGGCTTTGGGTACTATTTATTATGACTGGGGTAGGTGGACGAAAGTGCCATTTGTTGCTCTGAGTTATGCAGCAAGATATGTGGAGCCAGTCCTGGTTGCTGCTGTGTCCTCCAGTTTTCCCATCAGGATGCAACAGAATGAAGGTGCTTCAAATATAAGGGTTTCAAATAAGTTCAGGGCACACATTGTAATAGGGTAAGCTCTTATTTGTCTTTGACTGGATATATTGCAGCCTCTCTGTCGCTGTAATTAACATCTGGTTTCCATTGTTGTTGTTTGTTGTTGTTGTTGTTTTTGTTGTTGTTTTTGTTGTTGTTTTTGTTGTTGTTTTTGTTTTTGTTTTTATTTTATTTATTTATTTTCAGAAGAGCTTTTCTATTACAAGGTGTTCCAAAAAAAGAGAAACCTTCCCCTTCATTAGACTGATGGGTTATCCACCTATCAACACTCAATTAAAAGTACAGTCCAGGGCAGCTCCAAAAGAAGGGAATGGTAAAGGCCTTATTAGTACCTTATACCCCAAACAAAGCAAAAATAAAAAGCGACACCCCACCCAAAAAAAACCCCCTAGAAATAGTTGCCATAAGTCAGAGTAATTGATTTGATGGCACATCAGCAACAGCAGCAGCAGTAGTAAAAGGGGTATGAAGACTGTATTATGCATTCACAGGCGGTCTGAAATACTGTTGATGGCACATCATCATCATCATCATTATAGCAGCAGCAGCAGTAAAAGGGGTATGAAGACTATATTATGTATTCACAGGCGGTCTGAAATACGCCATCTAATTAGGACACTATCTCCATCTACTGGACACTGAAGGGACTATAAGTACCTGTATTCAGTCAAGAGTTAAAAGACTGTCAGCTTTAACAAGGACTGTTCTACTGCACTCTGCATAGCACTAGCAATTTCCAAACAGATGCCATTATACTAAATACATAAATGAAGAGGCTGTAATCTCTCTATTTATTAGTCCAGCATTTTTTCAATACATTATGGATTAAACTGAATGAACTTCTCATATGAGTGGAAGACAGGCTTACTCTTGGTCCAAAGGTAAGTGCTCCTCTTTCCCAAATGCACCTCTCCACAATACATCAAATGCACCATAGAAGAATTCCTTATGGGGCCCTGGTAGAGCTTTAGGGTGTGTGTGACAAGCTTTCGAGGACAGATGAAGCCATTTAATTTTGGTCCATGACAGTTGGGCATGTATCCAGTCGTAAGTCTATTCCAGCCCACTTCCACATCAACTTGAATTTAAAAAAAAAATCATGAAGATTGTTACAGTTTTCATCCCTCCCCCACATCATTTGTAAACTTTTTATTCCATAGTAAGCCCTGGAAAGAGCTGGCATAAGTAAGAATTTATTTGATGGCATTTACAGTATTAACTAATGTCACTTTATTCAAAAGAAAAGCCCAGCCATTATTTAGCTGTTGCAAAATATTTCCCTCAATGAAAAAGAATGATGTCCCTTTCCTAACTCTAACTGTAGGGTGTTTTTTGTCCTTAGTGAAATGGAGAAGAAAATAAAGATTTACCTTGACTGAAAACTGCTTCTTCTTGGGTGCATACCAGACAACACCACTGGAGTAAATGAAGGCCCTCAGAGGGCTTAAAGAAGTCACCAGTACATATACTTTGATGATGATGGAAAGGTCTTGGATTTTAAAGTCTCCTTGATGGTCAACTTCAATTGGTTTTTGATGACTGGAAAATTACAACAAATCATATGGAAATTAGACTCATCAAAATCAGTTTCTTCTCTTCTCTTTTTGTATATACACCAGAACACAGTGCTAGAAAGCACCTGAAGAGGACAATTGGTAGGGTGCAACAAAGGGGTTTGTCCTTTATCATCTATTTTATTAATTTACTTTACCACTTTCTAGCTGTCATCCTGGCCTGTGAATCCAAATCCTTGGGATGTCCTGAATATTGTTCTAACTCCCACCAGACTCACATATTGTGTTAGAGACCCTATAGACAAAAGGGAACTAATGGCCCAAATCCTCTTGCACAACGATGCAAATGGCACACATTTTGAGGCAATTTGCCCCAAGTTAATAAACCACTGTAGTCATTGTTAGTTAAACGTTAAGTCACACAATTTAGTATGCAGTAAATAATGTCTACAATAATTTCTTAACTTGGGGCAATTTGGTTCCTGAAGTCACGCCATTTGTGTTGGCACTGGTGCAATTAGGCAAGAGAATCTGGGCCAAAATTTTAAAAAGTGAGGACAACGGGCAGATAGGGGGTTAAGCAAAGTCTTTCCCTGAAAAATACAGTCGATAACCCCAACATTTCCAGCATGAGGGAATTCCAACATATCAGGAAGGAAATAGAACATCTAGTTCAAGCCACTGATGTCAATAAGAACACTAAAAACACTTTTTTACCGCTGAATATTCTTGATTGGCTGATACAGCATGTGAGTCAAACTTGTTCTTTCATTATTACTATGTGGCTTCACTGTGTGAAGAGGTATCCTATTTGATTCTTGGCAAGCAGGAAGAGCAATTGGAAGGTGCAAATCTGAAAAGATAATTGAAATTAGAATATGAAATTATATGAATTAGAACAGAAATTAGAACATGGTCGAAATATAGGATGCCTCTCTTTTCAAGGAAGGCAGTGAAAACAAATATTTTGTTATTACTTTTTACTTCTCGAATGCTTTTCAGCAGATTTTTCTGATACCTTCTTACTTACGTTATATTTATTTCACTTCATTATATTTATGTTCTCAACTTTTTTTAAAAAAAGAGAAAAACTATAGAAGGATAATTAACAAGGCAATAGATTAAAACCTGCTTAGTTTGCTTCACGTTGGTTGAAGGTTTTTTTTTTCAACCAACAAATGATTACATTCATGAGAATGATACCAATCAGCTGAAAGTAAAAAGACTTTTCTAGTATGGTGCTGACAAGTTGCTTCCTAACTATCTAAGTAATGAAAGTCGAGCCGTGGCATGAAATCAGCCACTAGAGGGTGCTGTCTTCCTTTCCTTTCCTCCCTCTTCCTGACACAATGCCTTTTTTTGTTCACATGTGCTGTGGCTTTTATTAACTAAGTCCATTTTTAGACATTTCCAAATGCTTAAGTAAGGGAGAAGTCAAGCTGTTCCTATTATTCTCAGATCTCGTTGCTTAACATGAGACCACACAGGGCTAAAGCTTACTAAGTACAACTTGCCTTTCAACAGGTTCACTATATTTCAATACGGCAAGCTAAAACTGAAATTGAAGCTGTAGGATTTCCAATGATTACATGAGAAAAAGCCATAAGTGACAAGAGTGCTGTTTAAACAGAATACACATAGTCAAAAAAATGTCTGATTCTCGGTATTACAAACAGCCGCCCATTCTGCTAAAAATGTGACAACGTTTGGGATGGCATGAAAGGAGGACTGAGAATACTGAGCAAGGCATGAAAGGTGGCCCTCCAGATGCTGGAGGATGATGATTCCCATCATCCATCACTGACAGCTGTGCTGAGTAGGGATAATAGGAAGGGCTACACATGGGTCTCCCTATCACTGTCCTGTCATTGCTCATTTATGGGATAGTTTCAATGTGTTATTATATGGGTTTGTCCTTAAAAACACACCTTTCTGCCCTGATTTAGAAATCTCTGTGCATAACTTTAGACATATAAGACTTGCTTGAGTTCATGCTCTTAACCTACTCCACTGGTAAATGCTTCAAAATTGGTGGCATTCAAGAGCAATTTAGACAATTATCTGTCAGATCTACTTTGTTTTGGACTCCCTCCCAGTTGGATTCCATGGCCTTATAGACTCCTTCCAACTTCATTATTCTTTAATTCTATGGAGGAAGGTTCTTCCTTGAAGCAATAGCTATTCAGAATGCCAAGTGAGAGGCAGGAACCACACAGCCTTTTCTTATTCTTTCTGGATTAGATACTATTAATGGTCACACTCAGCTCCACCTACAAGACAATGTAGACTCTCAAGACCAACCATGTGGATTCTTCACATCAGCCACAATCTGAAGAAACGTCTCCTTATGCTTGTC